CCATTCACCCTGGTCTCAGTTGGCAGAGGTTCGTGCGGTGGGGAAGTCCCACCGCACGAACCCAGGACCTCTCCCATGTAGGTCCAGTTGCAGTACCACTGTGCCATCACCTGGCCCGGTATGTGTATTTTCTAAACTCTCAACTTAGGCTGCATTTTAACAAGCAAATACAAGAGAATGAGGTTTTGGGGGCCAGTGGATGGCATAATGGTTGTGTTGCTGGACTCCCACGTAGTTGACCATGGTTCAAGTCTTACCCCTGGCACCTTGAAATTCATGCCGAGCGCGTGTATGTGTGTGTGTGCCTGAAACACAGAGAGGAGAATGGAGGAGAAGGAATTGCAGTTTGATCATCCCCTGGGGGGGGAGGGGGGACTTCTTACTTTCTGTCTCTCTCTGTCTTTCCAGGGAGCACTCATGCCCTGTAGCAAAAATTTCTCTTTAAACAAACAAACAAAAAAAAGAACAAGGTTTTTCAGAAGTGATAAGTACAACAAACCCACGCTAAAGATCCATTTGTCTCTACCTAAACATTTGTACAAGATGACAAGATAGACAACTCTTTATTAGAGTTTTTGCAATAGGGCGCATGCACTCACCAGAGAGAGAGAGAGGCAGAGGGACAGTGAGAAATCACTCCCCAGGGAGGATGGCTACGCTGCAATCCTTCTCCTCTGGGGATCTTGGGCACACACACACATGCGCATGGCATGAGTTTAAGCCTCTGGGTCCAGGACTCGAACCATGGTTGAATACATAGGAGTTCAGTAACATAGCCATCATGCCATCTGCTGGTCCCAAGAACAGCTTCTAAAAGCCTCATCAGGAAAACATAATAGCTTTAATATCACAGCTAATAGATGCTAGAAAATGATCATTTTCTATGACAACAGTGATTTTAAGTATCTAGAGTGACAATTAATTAGAACTGAGAGACTCTGTAGAGAACCCTACCTTTTTCATTTCCACTCTTTTGTCTTGCCATTTCCTGTTTCAGGGCACAGATGGAAGCTTCCCGTACCAAAGCAGAGAGATCAGCACCTCTATAATGAAAGAAATAGTCTTATTTTTTTATTCTGAAAAATACTACCAAAATCCCAGAAAGACGCCTAGGAGCAATTTCATTGTTATTATGCCCAGGAGCATGTGCTGTGCTAGAGAGCGACAAAGAACAACACGATCCCTCCTTCAGTTCTCCCTCCTTTAGGGATTTTAGGCGTGTATACACATGCACCTGGCGTGTGTGTGTTTATCCTTTAGGCTTTTTGCCCTAGGGTGTGTGCACTCGCAGAAAGAGACACAGAGAGAGGGAAAGCCTCACCCCACTCTGGGGAGATGGCCATGCTGCAATACCTTCTTCATTCTCCTTTGGAAATTATGGGCATGCACGCACACTTGGGTGGTGTGTTTTTCAAACCAAGTCCGGGATTCAAACCAGTTGCATGGTTTTGGACTTGAACCATGGAGTTGGCCATGTGTGATCCAGAGCATTAACCACCATGCCCCCAGTTGGCCCAGAAATTTTCTTCTAAGTTACATATTAAATAACCAGGAAAGAAATTGACCAGTAAAGGTGGGATAAACTGATTATGATTAGTAGGAAAGAGTTTTTAGCTTTCGCTTAAAGTAATTCATTTTTTTAAGTTCATTTCTTCCATGACAGAGAGAGATAGCATGAGTGAATACCCCCAAGAGGGTCTTGATTACACAATCCATCTACCTTATGCTCCAACCAGCCCAGGTTCATGGGCACATGCGTGCATACTCAAGGAAGTCTCTGGATCCAAACCCAGAAATTTCTCAAGTGAGTCAGCCTCACAGAACATCGTGTGTGTGTGTGTGTTTGAGAGGTTTTTTTCTCTAAGGCGTGTGTACTCGCCAGAAAGAGAGAGCGACAGAGAGACAGAAAGCGAGACATCACCCCCTAGGGGGGATGGCCATGCCACAATCCCTTCTCTTCCATTCTCCTCTCAGGATCTTGGGCACACATGCACATGCACCTGGCATGAGTTTAAGCCACCAGGTCCAGGACTCGAACCGCTGTCTACTACATGGGAGTCCAGTGATGTAGCCATTACACCACCTGCTGGTCTCAGAACATGTTTTACCACTGTGTGCAGTCTTGATTTTAAATATTTCTCTTTAAAACAGGGACCAGCTGATGGAGTAATGGTTATGTTGCTAAGACTCCCAATTAGTAGACCACAGTTTGAGACCCTGACCTGGTGGCTTAAAACTCACGCCAGACGTATGTGCATGCACCCAAAATTGCAAGAGGAGAATGGAGGAGAAAAGACTGTGGCATGGCCATCCCCCCTGGGAGGATTATTTCTTGTTTTCTGTCTATCTCTCCAGCTAGCACATATGCTCTACAGTAAAACTCTTTCTTTAAAAAAAAATTCTCGTTAGAAGAAAAAAAATTATACAGGAAATAATGCAATGAATTATAAGCATTCCCTTTCTTTTAGTTATTATTTAATTTTATTTGTTATTATTCATATTCTAATGTGACCAGAGGGAGACAGAGAGAGAGAGAGAAAAGTGAGAAAGTGAGCCGTTAGGTCCAGGACTTGAACTATGGTCAGCCATGTGGGAGTCTAGTACCTCTAACCACCATACCACCTGCTGGCCCAGCATTCCCTTTCTAATAGTTGTAGATATTAATGTTAATATAAACTATACAGCCAGGGGAACCAGCAGTTAGCGTAATGGCTATGTCGCTGGACTCCCACATAGTCGACCCTGGTTCGCGTCCTGGACCCGGTGGCTTAAAACTCACGCTGGGCGCATGTGCATGCATGCCCAAGATCCTGAGAGGAGAATGGAGGAGAAGGGATTGCGGCGTGACTATTTCCCCTGGGGGGTGATTTCTCGCTTTCTGTTTCTATGTCTCTCTCTGTCTGTCTGGCGAGTGCACGCGCCCTATAGCGAAAAAACAAAACAAAACAAAAAACCTATACAGCCAGTAGAAATATAAATGTATAATGTCTTCATTCATAAGAGCTATGCTAAAGTGCTGACTAGCACATTCATAAGCTAAAGTAAGCTTTTATGAAAAATCATTTATGGCTTCGAGTTCAAAAGGAGAAAATACAAAGCCAAGAAAGACTTTGATGTACTTTTAATCCAAGCTCCAGCTGAGTGAATACATAAGTTAATTAAAATATGACAAGAACAAATACACTTTCATATATTTAATTATTCTATGTAATAATAGCTGAATCAGCAGAGTTCTGTGAGTGCAGTAGAAGACTGCTGGTGACTGATATTTCACTATCATACAGCTTAAAAAGGATTCTTGAGAGATTCTTTGAGAAAGAACTAGAGTTTGAGGATAAACGTCACATTCCTAGGTATTAGTTTATTATATAATGTTGATCTGCATAATATATAAAACTGGGGTCAGCAGGTAGCTTGGTGGTTAAGGGCACTAGACTCCTACACGGCTGACTACAGTTTGAGTAACAGGCCTGGCGGCATGCTTTCTTACTTTCCCTCCTTCCCTCTCTCCCTCTCTCTGGTCAAATTTAAATAAATAAATATAAATTAATAAAGTCAAATAAAATAATTCTTTAAAAATATATAAAACTAAAGACACCTAGAATTTAAATTATTAACTAAATCCAAAGTTTTTGTTGGTTGTGTGTTAGGATTGTAACATTAATTAATAATCATATGTGAGGGCACTTCAGAATGTTCATGGAAAAATGGAATTAAAATATGAGTTTAGGGTCAGTTCCATGGCCTAGTGGTTAAAGGAGCCAGATCCCACATGGCCAACCACTGTTTGCATCCTGGTCCTGGCAGCTTAAAAACACACCTAGTGTGTGTGCATGCATGCCCCAAATCCCAACAAGACGGAGAAATGGAGAAAGGATTGGGTGTGACCATGCCTTTACTGGGTGGGAGGTTGCTTTCTCCCTCTTTCTCTCTCCACTGAGTACATAAGTCCTCTGTCAATGAAAACATTCTTTTAAAATTTGAGTTTATTTTGATAAAGAAATACTTGAAATCTATGTAGCTTTTTAATAATATACATTTTTCATGAATTTTTCATGAATTTTTCAAAGACCACCCCTGCATACATGCTAGGGTATTCATTTATTCCCTTAATATAACGTGTAACATTGGTGTAAACAACAACAACTAAAAAACAGGTAGCTGAATGTTGTAGTAGTACAGTATCTCTCAAACTATGGTGACAATGACTTTACTATCCCAAATACACAGCATTTAATTTTAATTTGCCAGAGGGCACATGTACAAGCCAGACTACAAGAGAGAGGGAAAGTGACCATCCCGCCATGGGGGATTGTCATACCACAATCTCTTTTCCATTTCTCCTTTTGGGATTTTGGACATGCACACATACATGCCTGACATGTTTTTTAAGCTGCTGAGTCTCTGAGTCTAGGATTTGAGATATATAGTTGGCCATGTGAGATCCAGCTACCTCAACCACCATACCACTGGCTAGACCGCACTGTTCGATTTTTTTTTAACTAGTTAACTAACTTTATTCATTTGTTCGTTCGTTTATTCATTTATTTAAATTTGACCAGAGGTACAGTGTGTGTGTGTGTGTGTGTGTGTGTGTGAGAGAGAGAGAGAGAAAGCGAGAAAGCAAGTTGTCAGGTCTGGGACTTGAACTGTGATAAGCCACATGAGAGTCCAGTGTCCTTAACCACCACACCAAGTGCCGGACCCCAATTTCTATTCTATAATTATTTTATTTTATTAGAAAAAAATTTTTTTAGAGATTTTTCTATAGGCACATCCACTCGCTAGAGAGACAGAAAGTGAGAAATCACCCCTGGGGGAATGGCCACACCACAATCTCTTCTCCTCCATTTTCTTCTCGGATTTTTGGTATGTACACAGATGTACCCGGTGTTGAGTTTTTTTAAGCTGCTGGTCCAGGACTCAAATTGTGGTCAACTATGTGGGAGTCCAGGGGACTCCAGCGACATAACCATTATGCCACCTGCAGGTCCCATTTAAAAGAAGTTTTTGCCTTAGGGTACATGTGCTAACCAGAGCGAGAGACAAACACAGTGAAAAAAGAAAGTGAGTAATCGCTCCCCAGGAAGGAGGCCACACTGCAATCCCTTCTCTATTCTCTTCCTGGGATCTTGGGCACACATGTACACATGCCTGGTGTGAGTTTCAAGCCACTGGGTCCAGGACTTGAACTGTAGTCAGCTACGCGGGAAATGTAAGTGTTGTGCCATCTTCTGGCCCCACATTGTTCGATTTTAAACACAATTATTTTATTAACCAACACCTACATGCTCTAATCCAAAAGATTTGGCCCAGGTAAGTTCAGTTCTACCATTAAAACTACCTCTACCGGGGACCAGCAGATGGAATATGGCTACATCACTGAACTTCCACGTAGTCGACTACAGTTTGAGTCTTGGACCTGGTGGCTTAAAACTCATGCCGGGAGTGTATACTCAAGAGCCCGAGAAGAGAATGGAGAAGAGACTGAGGCCTGGCCATCCCCCCTGGGGGTGAGCTCTTTCTTTCTGTCTCTCTGTTTCTCTCTGACTGTCCAGTGAGCAGATGTGTCCTATAGCAAAAATCTCTCTAAATAAATAAATGAATAAAACTACCTCTATTATTCACTGAAAATCTTTTCACATTTGAACACTTAATCCTATAAACTACTAACTTAAGTCTTCCACCTCTGTCCCCAAATAGTAAAACGATTTCATAAAGAACTAGTAAGGATTTGATTTGATTTGATTGCCAATTAAAGGGAAACGGGCTCTCACATATGCCTCTCACCATCCTGCCTAAGACTGATCACTTCCCCTTTATGGAGAACCACTGTCTGCACTAGGGGTAACTTGGTCATTTTCAGAGAGTGGCATGTCTCTCAGGTGTGCTGGGGAGGCAGAACAATTGAGACTCATTGCTCTAGACATCCATGTCTGAAAAAGATTCATATGAGGTAGAACTTTGTAATCTGACCCACTCCAAAAAAATGATCAGCACAGTTTCAAGTGGAACCATCTTGATAAGAAATGGTTATGTGAAATTCTTCAACAAGAACAGAAAGTAACTGCCTATATTACAGGCACTGTCTGTGGTATGTTTTTTGGGTAAAAAGCACCGACTTCTGAGGAGGACCTCAAAGATGAAAACACTGATTTACATGTTTTACTTTGCTTCAGGAAGCACCATGTGATTGGGCCCTGCCCTAGGGGGTATTGTGATCACCAAGCAAGTTGTGATCAATCAACAGGGTTTTAAAATGAGCCAGAGGCTGGCTCTAGGCCATCAAGGTGGCCCCACATGGCGCTCACAGTTGGGTTCCCAGCACAATAACCCTGAAACACACAGGGCACAGTTACAAGTGCCCAGGATCTACTGCACTGGACGGCTGGAAGAGGTCACGCCAGATCCTGTGGAAAGCGTTCCTTTCTCTCTCATGCACACGTGCTTTATCAAAAATAAAGAGAAAGGAAAAAAAAATAAAGAGAAAGAAAGAATTTAAAGACAAGCCGGGGTGGGGGAAAGAGAGAGACAGCAGGTGGCATGGTGGTGAAATTGCTGGATTCCCACATGGTTGACCACAATTTGAGCCCCCAGACCTGGCAGTTTGCTTTCTCACTTTCTCTCCCTCTCTGGCAAGAGCTCACGGCCTATAGCAAATTAATAATAATTACAAATAAAATAAAATAATTCTTAAAACAACAACAAGCCAGGGGCTAGTTGGTGGTGAGATGCTTAAGGCAGCTGGATTACACACGGCAGACTGCAAGGCTCGAGTTCGAGCTCCTGTGGCATAAAAACACAAAGGCCTCATGTGTGTGCATGCCCAAAATCCCAGGAGAATGAAGGAGAAGGGATTTAGGAGAGGCCATTCCTGTGAAGGCATGCTTTCTTACCCCACCCCCTGCATGATCTTGACTCTCTCTGACCAGCATACACCCCTATAAATATAACATATCTAAAAAAAAAAAGCAAGTCAGAAAGTGTGATGTGTCAGTTAAATTTGAGTTTCACTTATTTTCTGTGTCCCCAAAATGAAACAGTTAACAAATTACTTTTAAAAAACTGGAAGAAGGGACCAGCAGATAGCATAATGGTTATGTCACTGAACTCCCAAGTAGTAAAGTGCAGTTCAAGTCCTGGACCTGTCAGCTTAAAACTCATGCTGGGCGCGTGTGCGTGCATGCCCAAGAGAAGAGTAGAGAAGGGACTGTAGCATGGCCACTCCCTCGGGAGGTTATTTCTCACTTTCTGTCTCTCCAGAGGGCATACATACCCTATAGCAAAAAATCTCTCTGAAAAAAATAAATAAATAAAACGGGGCAAAAAAAAAAAAAAAAAGACAGCACCACAAATATATGACAGCTGAAGGCAGAAATCAGATTTTGTTGCTCCTAAAAGCTGCATGGATGTGAGTAGGTGTGCTATATAAAAACGCATTCTGAGGCTTAGAAAATATGATTTTTGTTAATCTCTTCAAAGCTGAAGCACTTTGATAATTTGGCAGCCAGTGATGAAAATTTTCTCAGATATTCTGGAAGAACAAACACTTTGTGAAGGATAGCAACGATAGTTAGGGCAGCTCGAACACCAAGAGTCAACATAGGAAAGGGTTCCCTTCTTCCCAAGAATTTCTTCACACCTCCAAATAGGCAGTCCCTCCACCTAGGAGAAGCGAGGATAAGCCAGGCACCACATTCGGTGCTTCATAAGATACCTCATCTATTCCTCCCAGCCATCTGCTGAGGTGAGGATCTTTCTTTCTCATTTAATGAATGAGAAAATGGAGCCCCCAACAGTTAACTGACTTGAGAGTAAAACACTTACGTATAGCAATCACAGCGAGGGTCACCAGCAATGGCTTCCAAATTTACGTCTGCATCCAATGGGGGTTTGGTGCCGTCCTACGTAAGACAGAAAAGCGACTTTTCAAATAAGGCTCAAAAGACCCATGTTCGGAGGTGGCTAAGGGTACTGGACTCCCACATGGCTAACTGCGGTTTGAGTCCTGGACCTGGCGGCTTGCTTTCTTCCTTTCCCCTTCTTTCTCTCACTCTGTCCCTCTCGGGTCAAATTAAAATAAATAAATAAATAAATAGGTAAATAAATAGATAAAGTTAAATAAAATACTTATTTAAAGAAAAAATAAAAGAACCATGTTCAGGGACCAGCAGATAATGTTAATGGTTACGTCACTGACTCCCATGTAATCGACTGTGGTTCAAATCCTGGACCTGGCAGCTTAAAACTCCCGCTGAGCACGTGTGTGTGTCCCCAGAATACTGAGGGGGAGACTGGAGAAGAAGGGACTACAGAGTGGCTACTCCCCCCAGGGGGTGAGTTCTTGCTTTCTGTCTCTGTTTCTCTAGCGAGAACATATATTCTAATACAAAAATCTCTTTCTCTAAGAACAAAACAAAACAAAAAATACAAACCCCCCACATTCATCCACATAACAGGTTCCTAATGCAATAATGGCTCATAGTAGTCAGCAGGTGGCATGATGGTTAAGTTGCTGGACTCCCACGTGGTTGACCACACTTTGAGTCCCAGACCTCTGGCAGCTTGAAAGTCACACCACGTGTGTGTGCGCATGTGCCCAAAATCCCAAGAGAAGAGTGGAGGAAAAGAGATTGTGGTGTGGCCATCCCCCCAGAGGGTAATTTCTCACTTTGTCTGTTTTTCCAGCAAGTGTATGTACCATATAGCAAAAATCTCTCTTTCTCAAATACTACTACTACTAATAAATAATGACTGCATGGCCAAATGAGTATAACTGAGTCTCAGTGTGGTAAGATTTCTACAAATTTTAATTTTGAGAAATGAGGCAAAAAAGCAGATTCCAGACTCGAAAGAGTTAAAGGCAAACCATCTATGCTCATGAGGCTTGAAGACTGTGCAGCCACAGTGAAAACAAAACACCACGGGTACCAAGGACAAAACCCACCACAACAATCTTTCCAAAGGTGAAGAAACACATTTCTTTTGCTGGTTATATATGGTAAATACTTGAGCAGGGCTTGGTGTGGATGTGCGGTTAGCTAGGAAGGAGAGATGAGGTCAAGCCTGACCAGGAGAGAACAAGTTGTCACCTGCTCTGCAATGAGAGCCCAAGTCCTCCATGCTGCCGTGATATTCTGGCTAAAATGCAACCTTGACGGGTGCAAATTCCCCCTTAGCTCGTGCCCAGAGACACTAGGAATGATGATGGTTTTCGAATTTCAACATTTAACACAATACTTTGCACGCACACAGTACATATTGAATATTTTTGGTGACAAACTACAGAGGTAAAACTCAGTTTTTACCTTTTAAGACAAGGTCTTACAGTGTCATGATCTTCCAGTTTCAGCCTACCAACCAGCTGGGACCAGAGGCACACCGCCATGACCAGCTTTGCTTTTTTTTTTTTCAGATAGGGTCTTTCACTGTGTTGCTCAGGCCAGTCTCAAGCTTGAGACCTCCTGCCTCAGCCTCCTTCAGTTGCTGGGATTACAGGTGCAATCCACACTACCTGCTTTTAGAGTGGACCAGGAAGCTAACCTGGGCACCCCATGTGGTCCCAGCCTGTGGAGCATGGCATCTTAGCATTGTGTTACTGTTGCCTGACTAAAACAGAGTTTTAATGATCTTTTTTTTAAAAAAAATATTTATTTAATCTTATTATTATTTTTTAATTTGACCAGAAAGAGACAGAGAGAAAGGGAAAATGAGAAAGCAAGCTGCCAGGTCCAGGACTCAAATCGCAGTCGGCCATATGGAAGTCCAGCACTTTAACTACCATGCCACTTGCTGGCCCCAGTGATTTTTAAAAAATGTTGTATATTTATTTATTTTAATCTGACCAGAGAGGGACAGAGGAAAAGAGAGAGATAGAGGGAAAGTGAGAAAGTAAGCCACCAGGCCAGGGACTTGAACTGTGGTTGGCCATGTGGGAGTCCAGAGCCCTTAACCACCACGGCACCACACCACCAGCCCCTAGCCCCAACGATCTTAAATGTATGACAGTTCGATGGTAAGTTAGTGTGCGACTGCATTATTATTCTGATTCATTACTTACATATATAATGCGCATCTATTTTTTCCTTCACAGCAAACACATCATGAAATGATTGTATCATGAAATAGCTCCGCAGAGTGTCCCAAGTGCAGGTTCCGTCTGCCTGCCAGGCAGCAAGGTTTGGAGCTGCTGACCTCACACAATCCCTGCCACTCTGCCCACCCTCACACATTAAGCTTTGCACTGCCTTCCAGCAGGGCACGTCTAAGAACTGTATAAAGTGTACACCTAAATTAAATGCTGCTATTACTGGATAAAATGTCAATGTTTACCTAACATAGGTCCAAAAAAGTTACCTTTACTGTTCAATCCACTTTGACCTGGGAAATAAACCCTCTCTGTGGCACTTAGGCAAAAAAGTCTGTGCTTTTCTCTCCTAGTTATAAGCCTAGAGGGTCAGACCACATGGTCACTAGCATCTTTCACGTAAACAGTTTTTAGTGTGGTCAGGACAGTGACTCCTGGGGGAGGGAAGGGGGAAAGGTGGGCAGTGGCTGGAAGGAAGCAGGAAAGCTAATTCCATGAGTCTGGTAATGTGCTCTCTCTTCTTTTTATTGTGGTAAAATATACAACCTAAACTTAGCATCTTATTTTTATTTTTTTATATGCCAGAGGGTGTGTGTTGTTGCCAGAGAGACAGAGAAAGTGACAAAGCATCCGCCATGGGGGACTGTCACGTGACTATCCCTTCTCCTCCATCTCTCCCTCTTTTTGGGATTTTGGACACAAACGCACAGGTGTCCATAGTGTTTTCTCAAGCCACCAGGTTCGGGACTTGAACTGCATGGTCAGCTATGTGGGATCCACTGTCTTAACCACCAAACCACGGTGGTTAAGGCATCCTTCCCTTTAAGTTTATTTTTCTCCTGAGAGAGATGCACCTCCAACAGGATCTTGCCACTGTGATCCATGCCTGGCTTCAGCCTGCCCCAGATCACAAGCATGCATGTGCCTGGTGTACACGTCTCCAGATGCAAACCTAAACCCCCACCTGTGCACCAGTTTCACGAACTGCTACATTAGCACGGTGCCACCGTTTGTCTCCCAAAACTTACTTTCCTTTTACTTTTTAAATTAATTAATTAATTAATTAATTGCTAGAGGGCACCTGGGCTGGTGAGAGAGAGACAGAAAAAGAGAGAGACCCCCAATAGGGTGTGGTCCTTCATTCCTCCTTTCCCTGTCAGAATTTTTTTTTTTTTGAGAGGTTTTTGCTATAGGGCGTGTGCACTCACCAGAAAGAGAGAAACAGAGAGACAGAGAGTGAGAAATCACCCCGCAGGGGGGATGGCCACACTGCAATCCCTTGTCCTCCATTCTCCTCTTGGGATCTTGGGCACGCACGCACACACATGCGCCCAGTGTGAGTTTAAGCTACCAAGTCCGGGACTCAAACCACCGTTGACTACGTGGGAGTCCAGCAACATAGCCATTACGCCAATTATTGGTCCCAGAATTTTTTTTTTTAAGAGATTTTTGCTATAGGGCATGTGCTCACTGTAGAGACAAGAGAGACAGAGAGACAAGAAGTAAGAAATTAGCCATCCCAAGGTGGATGGCTACACCAAATCCCTTCTTTTCCATTTTCCTCTCAGGATTTTGGGCACGCACATACATGCACCTGGTATTGAGTTTCAGGTCACCGGGTCTGGGACTTGAACTCTGGGTCAACTACACGGGAGATCAGTGCCTTAACCACCACACCACCTGCTGCTCCCACAAGCCGTCAGGTTTTTGACTACCGCATACACATGTCCATGTCCAGCACGTTTTTCAAGTTCTAGGGTTGGGATTTGAACCACAGTTGGCTGTGGGAGCTGGCTACCAAAACACAACGCTTTAACCATTGCACAACAGGGCTTGTCCCCAAATTTACCATCTTAACTATTTTAAGTGCATAGTTCAGTGGTACTAAGTACCTCCATCATCACTACCTATCTCCAGATCTTTTTTTCCTTTCCCAAAATGAAACTCTGTACCCATTAAACACTAGTCCCCCATTCCTCCTGTCCTTACTCACACCCCATCCCACCAGCCCCAGCAATGAATTTCACTGGTAATGTTTTCTTTCTTGATCTGGTGGTCATGTTTATAACAATTCATGGAGCTGGACATTTTATGGTATGTCCACTTTTTTGTATATGTATCGTACTACTGATTCAATAAAAAGATTTAAAAAGTGAAAATAACATTGAACCAGAAACTGAATACCTGAGATCGAAAGCTTAAGTTTGCAAGTAAATGGACCCATGGAAAGTTCTTTAATCTTTATTATTTATTTATTTTTGGTAATTAAAAACAATTGTATTCGGCCAGCCTTGTAGCCTAGTGGCTAAGGGATCTGGATCCCACATGGCCAACTGTGGTTTGAGTCCCAGCCCCACTGTTTGAAAAAACATGCCAGGCATGTGAGCACACATGCTCAAAATCCCAACAGGATGCTGAAAAGGAGGACGAAGGATTGTGGCATGACCACGTCCTATTGCGGGGTGCTTTCCCCTTTTCTAGCAAGTACATGTGACTTCTGGTAATTAAAAAAAAAAAAAAGGATCTTATCTCCAAATAACATAATTTTGTACTGTATTTAAAAGACAGGAGGGAAAATGATGCTGTTTGCATAGTGACAGTGAACATATAATAAAGGTTATTATAATGAAGAATAGCTTAGACTTTCCCAGCCATTAGTGAAGTGGGAAAGACTGCCTGTTAAAACACTGCCCTGTGAGTGTCTCAATACATCATTATAAGGAGGGCGAGAGGTGGGTGGGGTGATGGGGCTACTGTATTAGACAAGCCCTTACTTGGTGCTTCAATGTTCGTAAGAACCTACTAACCTTACCTTGA